ACAGCAATAGGTCTCTTCATTTCCTTTCAACAGCTTTATCAGTGACAGATATTTTTATCAAAATCTAAAAACCCTCAAGGCAGGGACAAGTCTTTTTACACCTGTGAAGAGCATCCACACCTTCTGCACTGCTTCAGCTACTGCTCATGCTGCAATCACAGGGTGTGAAACCTACAGGCTTAGACCAATGAACATACAAAACCAGTATCAAAATCGGCTCTCACGCCACCTGCACTTCTGCTGTGAAGCAACAGCCACATACAAGGCAGAGCAGGTATCAGCGACATAACCTTGTGCTTAGATAAGAATTGCAGACCTGTACTGCAACCACACTGCTGGGCAAAGCAATCACTTTCTACGACTCCACCATAGAAGAAAGGAAACCCAGAGAGTTTACCAAGGTTCTGCAGTTCCTCACACCCTGCCTGAATGAAGCACTCTGTAAAGAATCCCACATTTCCACTGGAGGTTTTTCACAGGCATGAACTGTAATGCTATACGCTTAATGTTCTGGATCTGGACAAGAAAACCACAAGGAGAAAAAGATTGCTTTTGATATACTTAAGGGTGGAAAAATCGCAGTTCTCCAGGCCAGAAGGCATGCCAGCAGGAAGCCAAAGACAAGTCCCACATTTCTTGTCACATATGCACATTCCCATGCCTAGTTCACCACTAGTTTAGCAAAGATATTTAATTTACATGGGATGGACTTTAATTTTTTGTTCCCCTTTAAAAACCTGCTATTAGCATACCCAGAAGACAATAGCTTAAGTGCACATCTGTATTTAGAAACCTCAAACTGTAAAGCAAACCTAGCAACACAAGCTCTGCACAGTTTCCTCTATGTGAGATGAAGACACCGTTTATACAGTGATCCATACAAAGAAGCTGAGACATCTGAGTTCAAAAGGAACTTAAGATGATACAAGGTAGTGAAGACAAAGGTCTCTACTCCTTTATTTAAAAAGAAAAAATAAAAAACCTATGGCATAAATATTTTTCTCCTAGGTCTTGTCACCTTCTAAGAGACTAGAATGCCCATTTTTTAAAAACAAAGGATTTTGACAATTTTCAGTTGGCTATGAAAACTTTTATTTCTTGTGAATACTTTAGGGAGAACAGTTCTTGACTGCAACACTTACATTTGCTATACAGACAATTTACAAGGTCTGTAGCATGGAAGTGAACACAGAACTCCCACCCGAAAAAGGGCATAGACCAGAGTTCATAATTACCAGGAAAGCTACTTACACCAGCCCATGTCTAAGCTTTCCTCACCTACAATACAGCTAGCGGTAAAAAGATGGCTAGTGGCAAAGTGCAGGTTTACCATGACACACCCAGCCCCCTCCTGCTAGTCTTTCACGGTGACACACGATCAGCACGTCAGACATCCAGCTGAATTACCACTCACATCACTGGTAGGCTCTTGAGAAACACAGAAGTTTGCCAACATCAATCAGAACTGCTTGCACTGAAAGCTGGGTGAGTCAGTGCACTTGTCCCACTGTATTCCTGTGCCCAGGTAAGATTAATGACACTAAATCTTCTCTGGAGCATAGAGTTAGATATGTCTGAACTTGACATGCCAGTGACCTACTTTTCAGACATGCCCAACAACTGCATCTCCCTCTGAAGGCAACAAAAGACAAGGACTCAGCAATTTTGAAATAGTAGCACATGCCTTTAATTCAGAGGAACAGATGACAACTTAGGGTCAGCTGTGCACTTTAGGAAAATCCCACTTTAGCTTCACATGGGTATTCAATGCTATTGATCAATCAAGACACTCTGTGTTAGGCTACATATGTCTGTTAATTCCACATGTTTACTGGCAGGTGAAAGAGCATGGATGAAAGCTAGTAACTTCTTTCTTAGAGCCATCCTGCATCAGATCTATACATCCTTGGATAACAAATGTTGCCACTACTTTAACTCCCACCTGCCTAGACAGGTGCATTCCTTTCCCTAGAAGAAAAACACAAAATACCTTATCCCTCCGTATACACACCGGTGGTTTTGTAGAGATAGAGGCTCAGTCTATTTTGCCCTAGTAAGGAACCAGAAAACTCACTAAGATTAGGACACAATACACATCACTCAATTAACATGACTGACCATGATTCAGAAGAGAAAATCTGTAGAGCATACAGATGACACACACTAAAAAGAAACTCCAACCTTGCAAGGTATGTAAAGTTTAGATAACCTACTTAAATATGTAACCCCCCTGAGATTTGTACTTTTTCCCCTCTATGCCACTTTTTATGAGGAATAACCACACCCTCTATTATTACTCAGTTTTCATTTAATTTTTTAAAATATGTGCATGCATGTGTTACAAATACGATTCAGGGCTGTATAATGCATGACTACATCCACAAGCTATAGCTGAAACCACTTCTGTGTTGTTTAAAACCAGATAAAACCATTGATGCCATACAAAATTGAGACCAGAGACCAAGCTAGCTCATGTTTTGAAAGGTTTAGGGGTATAAGGCCACATCATGCAGCAAAGGAAACCTTTAAAGTGATACCTAGCTGTTGCGTATGCTAAGACTACCAGCAACTTCAATAACGATATGTTCAGTCATTAGCCAGCAAAACAATTTTTCCTTCATCTACAGAAGATGTCCCAACCTGAAGTAAATGCTGGAGGTGGTGAGTCATTCAGCTGAAGTTCTCTGCAAAAGTTTCAGAACATTTCTCATATGAGCAGTGCATATCACAGGCTGGGAAACATGGATGAAACTCACTTATTTGGCTAACAAGTAAAGAGACAGATAACATCTCCATAACACAGTCCTTTGCAGTTTCTAGGAAGCTCTAAAAGTCCTTCACATTCCAAAGCCATTAAACAACCAAGTCAACACCAACACTAGAAGGCAATTTACCAGAAGGAAAATTTACCATAAGAATCTGCACAAGCCTAATCATAATACACAGGTATTGAAGTCTGGTAAATTATGCTTTCACCCCAGGTATCCTAAAATCTCCAAATTAGACTCCCAATCTGCTATTCTTTTCAAATAAGTCTTAGACTCTTAACCTTTTAATTACAATAAAAATGCTAATGCAGGCAGAAAATGAAAGAAAGAGCCATCAACCAGCATCTTCGTGCCTAAAGAAATAAAAGGCAGGATCACAGTTTATAGCATCTCAAGGACACTGCAAAACAGCCCCACAAGCAAGCACATTACCTGGTTAATGCCTTGAAACAGAAAACAGCCTCCAGAACCTCCAGACTTACTCCAGTACTTTAATGTCTGTAGAGCTATACTATATCACCAGCAAAACTTTAGACATCTATCAGCAACTCTAGCAGAAGGTTTCTATACCCACTTTCATCAGCAAGCAGGACTTAACTGACTTACACCAGGGATTTGCTGTGGGATGGGAAGGATGAGGGTGGTGCTCATGAACTAGGGAGTTTCTTAGTGTGAAACCCCTGGCTTCTTCTTCACTGTTTGTTTCTTGAACCTGATGTATCAGTTACTAGTGAAAACAAATATGTCTGATCAATCCCTTTCTCTACACAGAAATATCAGTCTGGAGCATCAACCTATTATCAACAAGTAAAGTTACTTATTTTTTTCTAAGGTAGGGGGAGAGGCAGAGATTGAGAGAGACACTTATATGAGAGGAAAGGAATTTCAGGAATACCTTCTTAGAGGTAAAAAGAATTGGCCAAGTAAGCCTAACAAGCTACAACGAACCAAAACAAGCTCAAGCTTTGTTCAACATCACATCAAATACATAAAAAGTATAAAGACGATAAAATCATGAGCACATAGTAATGTAAAAGTCTGCCTTAAGTCCCTTTGACAGCATATTTGTTTAAGTATCTTAGTTCTTCTTGCTACAAGGCATGAGTTCACTTGGAGACCTCAGCCTAGGTGAACTTAAATGATCTTAAATTTGCACATATTTGACAGTTAGCTAAAAACTAAGTCACGGGGGGACAAAGACAAGATGAAAGAAATACTGACTGTTTTTCAGAAAGCTCACAGACACAGAAAAGCAGACACTCAATTCCATGAGAAACAGCCCATCAAAATACCCTCGAGTATCCAAACACTGACACACTGTGTCTTCCAATCTTAGGACACAGGTTACACCGTGCACCTGAGTTGTGAAGAAAATCCACTTAAAATAAATATTTATGGCCATCACAAGAAAAACAAGTCGTTAAAGTAAAAATCTGTTTTGAAGAGTTTTGAAGCTCCAGTTGCAGGGCTGAATTAAGTCTGAGATCTTTCAGAAGAGACAGAGTTGCTTCTGGGCAGTCTCAGACCCTGCACGGCCCTGCTAAACGGCCTGAAAGCATTCTCCTCTTTGGCAGCTTTACACGGGATTTAACTTCAAGATCTTATCACTGATACATGGTATTTTTAAACAATTACAAAGAAACGTTTGGAGAGGGGAAACGGGAACTAAAACGACTATTCTAGCCAATGCCACCGCAATCTTTAGGCAAGGACAAAGATCTCTCTATCCTCCCCGGCAATCCTTGTGATGAAGAGGATCTCAAATCCCATTTTACCCACGCCAAGAAAAGTCACTCAAGTCCTGCAAGTTTTAGCAGCGTTCCAGCCCAGTCGCTGCCCTGACCCATACTGCGGTGGAGAAGGGGGACACCAAGCTAGAGACTCCTGCTCCAAGCTTCTTCCCCTCCAGGACCTGATGTGGCTGCCTAAACCAATGTCCCCATGCTGGACCACCGGCACCCTGACGCTTGCCCGGGCTCCGGTGGTGGAGTGTACAGTCCCGTCACAGATGCTGCTGGTCTGTCACCACCACCACTCGCCGGCGGTGGTGGTGAACCACCACGGCAGGACCCGTCCCCTCCCAGCACCGCTCGTCGGTGATGGTGGTGGTGGGGCACCACCCAGGATCCCGCGGCGCGGGTCCCCCACTGCCACCATCGCCGGCGAGCGGTGCTGGGAAGGGACAGACCATCACCGCGGCCCCCAGATCCTCTGGACGCCCGCTCCCAGTACCTGTCCTCGGAGACGCTGATGACCCCGTCCTCCTTGGGCACTATCGCTGCCATGTTCACCACCTCCTGCGAGCCCTCCACCTTGTTGAGCAGGAGAGGCTTGCGAGTCAGCGCCTTGGGCTGGGGCTCCGCCGCCATGGGGCCGGCGGGCACCGCCGCTGCCGCCGGAGGAGGCTACGGCCGACGGAGGAGGGGAGGGAGGCGGCCCGCACTGCCGAGGCGGAGGAGGGACTTGCCGAAGCCGGGCTCTCCCTGGGAATCAGGAACCAGCGCGCCGGCGGTGACGGCACCGCCCCCGAGCAGGGCCGGGCCGGGCGGGGCCCTGGGGCCTGGGGGTGGAAATGGCGGCAGCTGCCGCCATGTCGCTGAGAGGGGTTGCTGCGCCGCGCCTTCACGAGGGGAATTCTTCGGTCAGACGGGGGTTTAACCACACATCTCCTGCCATGGCCACCCTCCCAGGCTGCGGGCTGTCCTCTGGGGGCAGCCCGGCGAGCGAGTCCCGCTCCCGAGCAATGCCCGGGTATCATCTGTCGGCACGGTGCTGCTGCCGAGTGCTCCGTCCCGCGGCCGCACTGCGGTGACCGCTTGGCGAAAAAAAGGGGCGTAAAGATTAAACAGAGGGGCGTCTGCTTCCCTCTGTTTACATTTTTCTATCTGAGTTTTTCTTGGAACTGAAGGTAAATACGAGATTTGTGCTGTTATGTTAGACAAGGGCGCAGGAAGGCAGGGCTGGCAGCAGGGCTGCAACGCGACGGCGTAAGAAATTCACCTTCAGACAGTTTATTCCTAAGGGAAACGAAACAGACTTCCAGCAGCTCATTTTCATCAAGAGGCTACTTTTCACTCTCTTTTCCGGACAGGTTCATTGAGGTCTAAGAAAGTGAGATAATTTGCCCAGAGCTCTGTGCTAAAGCCAGTGAAAAAGCAACTTCCTCCCGAGGCATATGCCAAACTTTCATAATCTGTCTTGAAAGATTATGGAAAATCATGCTCAATGTCTGAACGTGTTGTCCTACATCGCAGAAGTTGTCAGCAGATTGGAAAGTGTTATTTCAGCTGTAATGCTAAATTTACCCACACTAAGCCAATGAGCAGCAGTTCTCCATGAAAAATATCAGGTATGAAAATATCCACGATCAGGAGTTTAATTTATCTGCAGGAGTAACATGCAGCAGCATCATCTACAGAACAAATCCTGATTGCCCACTCACACTCATGTTGCCTATGTAGTAGATGTAGGCAACAGAGGAAAGATATTGTTAAGTCCTTGGGACAAAAACTAAAATTTCAAGATATTTAGTAACCTCTGTTATCCTAAACAAGCAGTATCTGCAGGACCACAGCAAGACATTTAAGCTTTCTCAACTAAACTATGAGATGTTCATAAGTGTAGAGGGAAAGGTCTGGTCAGCAACAGCCAAAGGCTTATGTAACATCTTATAGGAAATAAATTGGCAGTCTCAAACTATTTCCCTAAGGATGTGTGATCGGATTAGATAACATCTCTTTCTCATAATTCTTAGATGGGAACTACTACTAAAGAGGCAAAGACCCCACCTTCTTACTGGTATGGATGATCCTGCAGTCCTAGGCTAGACCTACAGATAAAAATGCTTGTCGCACTACTTGGTGAGGAGCGAGATATTCTTTGAAGATTATGACATGCTTGATAGTCTTCAGAATGGACATGTATCTAAAATTGTCTTTTACAACTGAAGTCTGGCAAGGTCTGCTGACTTTGCAGTTGTTTGCATTTGAGATTAGGCACTGTGCATCACTGATACATAATAAGGGGCTGAGCATATGTTGGAGACAACAGGCTACAGGCTCTTGGGAGACCCAGAATACTTTTCTCCAAAAACACTTTTAAGGAAGAAAGTAGTTGAGAAAACAAATGTCTTGACAGGCAAAGCTGTGGGTCATAGGACTGGAACAAGGTCCTACATATCCCCCAAATCAGCTGGATCTTCTTCAATTGCCTATTGAAACATCACATTTCCGTATTAGCCTTATCTTTCCTATGTTCTTAAACAATTTCAGGTCCAACTAATCCTTCAAGGTTTAAGACACTCTTTGGAGGAAAACACTGATAAGAAGGCATGCATTTTGGACCAAAGTCAAATAATAATATGCTAAAATCAAATATATGCTTCATGTGTTTGATCTTCAGAAATAAGTTACCTTTTAGGGAGAGGGGAAGGAAAAAAAAAGGACAACACAATGCAAGTGAGGATTCAGCAGCCACTCAAGATAAAATTCTTAAGGGCATTTTTTAAAGCTTATCTGTAATGGTGATTTCCTCTGCAAAACCAGGAAAGTACTTGAATAACAGAAAAGTGTCTCAAGGTCTAGTCCAGGATTTTACCAGGTGTGCAAACTTGAGGTCACTGCTCTACTCTCCCTGATGAGACGGGGAAATATTGTTGGGAAATTATTGCACACAGAAGCAATTTTATTATGACTGAGGGAAGAAAAAGTAATGGATGGAAACCTGGTGAGAGGAGGAAGGGAAGCAAAGAAGATACAGAAAGATTTCAAAGTGAGAACCCGAAGCTTCATCCTCCATTTTACCTGACAGGCTAAAAGGGTATTGTTGTGATGGTGGAAAAGGCATTGAAATTACCAATAAGACTAGATCTACCACTGTCACACACAATACTATCAAAAACTTTTAAAAAACAGTTTTCCTATAATGACAAAAACTAATGGACAAAAATACTTTAGTTAGAAGTTTTACAAACTACATTTGTTTTAAAAAGTAGCTAATCATGTCTTGCATGACAGTTCAGACAAAGTTAGAATTGCTGTAGACATCAAGTTTAATGAGTATCTACTGAAGCAAAATTAGAGTAGTGTAGAAAAGTGTTTCCCTGTGTAAAGGGGAAAAAAATAAGGAAATAAATCTTATAAATACTTCCTAGAAGATCTTTTTTCATTATCTGTCATAGCTTTCAGGTCAGATTGCATGGATTAAAAATATTGCTAGGACTAAAAGCAAGACAACTTAGTAACTGAATTTGAAGCCAAGAAAAGCAATCTTATTCAGTTCTTTTTCTGGATTAAAAAAAATCGTAGGATTAAGAATTATTAGATGCTCCTCTGGTATTTGCTTTTTGCAGGAAATTGCAAAACTTACATGGAAGAAAATTTATATGACGACACCATTTAAAGGATCTTTTTCTTGTTAACATAAATTCTGAATCAGTAAGAAGGGTGGCTATTAGGTATGCTTGGATTATCTGAACATTCTTGGAAAAGTGTATCCATCAGTAACACAGAGTGAAAAACAAGATGAAAAATGCAAAATGAATTAATATTACCTCATCTTCGTTTCTTAGTGTCATTTCTCTTACTCTACGTTTTGGCATGACACTGTGGTAAATGAAATGTCTGTTAGTTTTGGCCTTTATATCCTTAATGCAGGTTGACTTTCACTCTTTTGGTTTGGATAGAGCAGAATTAGGCTGCCTGCCTAAGAGCAGTAATAGTGGCCTATGTATTCATGTGCGGGGTGAGGACAGACCACCTGAGGAAGGAAGCTGTGCTGTTTTGGACTGATGCATTCACACACAGCAGAGCCTCTCTCCATGCCCTCATACTGCACCAGAGCCTTGGAGGACTTTCTCCAATTTCTCATCTGCGGTCTTGTTTGGAGTTTAGGAGTTGGAGCAAACCGAATTCCTCATCTTTGGCAATTTGCTTTAAAAACTGCTCTCTGGCTCCATCTTCTGTTTGATTGGTTGGGTTTGGGATTGGTTTTTTATGTCTCTATTTATTTTGGTATATCAGGGTGAGATTCTTCTAAGTTTTACAAACTAAATGTGTTTCAAAAAACCACATCTGTGTAATCACATCTTCTGTGACAGTTCAAACAAGCAGGAGAGAATCCCGACCAGCAGATGGAAGGGTTGGACCAGAGAGGAGGGATCTGAAGGGTCCCCAGCTGTGCTCTCAGCCTGGTGTTTAGATACTCCTGTCTGCAAAGTTGTTACTCTTATTACAAGAGGATGTGAAATCCCTTGACCAAAAGGTCGAGCAATATGTTCTGTTCTGGTGTGACTGTACTTTTCTGCAAAATTATGAGCATTACATGATCTGGAAACATAAGCGACATGCCTCATACTTTTCAGCTAAAACTGGCAAGCACTGGGGCCACTGAGTATGTGTAGGACAATTTAATAAACAGTTTGGCCTCTTTGTGGATGCTATATAAAACAGCCCTTTTACAAAGTGCTCAACAATAAGGAGAGTAATATTTAAAGTCCCCAAACCAGGCCTTTAATAAAGAAAAACTGGTTTATGGTGATTCATTTTTAGGCCTGAACTATTCAACATATGCCCTTTGGAGCCATTAAGTAATCTGATTCTAGTTGCTCCCACTCTGCAAGAAGGGAACTACTGTGGGAGCAAAACTGCACTTTGACTGATTCACTGCTTAAATTTAAAATTGCTCTGTTGACAGCAAGCCAGATTTCAGCTTCTGAGGCCTCTTCCTCAATCACCCATGTAAAACCAAAAAACTTATGTACAAAAAAGACAGCCACATATAAAAGGTAAAACCACTCAGCAACAAGTAGAGCTGCCTCTCAATATCCATTGATTACAGTAGTGTTTTACTCTTATAGTTTTCTTCTCTGCTTGTTTGTAAACTAAATGTTTTCCTGCTTTACAATATATGGGATTTACAGTTTCTTCTACACCTGTACTTCTATGGAACTGCAAAAATTCATGCTTAAAATTCTCTCCTTCTCCTGTTTTGTCATCAGTGACAGCCTTCATAAGATAGTAACTGAAAAATATTTTTAGTTTCAGATGCTACATCATTCTTGGAAGCATGTGGGAAACAAATATAAATGAGCTCTTTATATAGAAAGGCATCTTCATGGAGTACCAAAGTGTTCTTGCTTAAAAATATGAAACTTGTTACAAAAATGCACACTCAAATTTAATCACTGCTCCTTATTTTGCTCCAGGTATTTATCAGTTGCACAATAAATAGTATACTGCCTATCATATGTATATTAATAAGCCCTGCATGCTAATTGTGACAGGTTTTTTCTGCATTTCCTTAGTTTCAATTTATGCAGGGATCCAGAAAATGAGGATCTTTCATAAACAGAGCTTGGATCTGCTCTGGGTCAAAGTTATGGAGAAAAAGATTAGCATTAAAAAATATGCATGGCAGTATTACTGTGTAGCACCTTATCAAGAAGATATACACTCATTTTTAGCTGCCATGCAAGTGCTGTTGGCTTTGTGACTGACTGTGAACATGTGAGAACAAAAAAAGGGATGCTGTGTCAGTGTGTGGGCTGCAAATGAGAACTTCTGGCTCATACATTTTGCC